ACTCTATTCAGAATAATATCCCAGATCAAAAGACGAATCAGAAAGAGAGCCATTATGGCACGAAGAGGGAAGGCTGGAAGCTTCGACTGAATTTAAAGCCTATTTGTAAGCAGAGCAGCAGCTCCATTTAGCAGCCGGTTACAGTTTGCTGCTCTGGCTATAATGGATTTTAAATGTGGCGAGAAGAAAAGGCAGCAGCATGGCAGGGGATTACCTGAGTGAGAACAAGTGCTGTTTTTAACTTGTTAGAAGGTGAAGGACCCATATTGAGGCCAGAACGCACACACCCACATAGAAACACACACTTCTGCCCCACTTTCAGAGCTGTTTCTCTATGCCACCGCATTCGTCTCGTCTGCAGGTCACCCCTGTTGCCTCGAAGGACAAACAGCCCATTAGCTAAATGAGCCCGAGGTCCCACACACCTGTCTTATACACAGACTCTAAGGGACACAAAGACAGGGCAATAAATGCATATGCAAACAAAAAACATCCTGCAGAAAATAGGACTGGATACTGAATGCTTAAGTACATTTATAGCTCATTGGAGGCGATGCTCAATAACAGCAAGGCTCAGGGCTGCTGGAAGTCATTTTGAACAGGGGGTGCTCTGAACATTTTTTTGTTTTTAGGACGATGGGCCTATAGGCCTATTTAAAATACAATAAATAAAAATAAATAAATAGACTAAGATCTACTACTTTATTGTCATTTTATTGTATTTAAAACACAGAATCGTAGGTGAATATATGCGCTATTAGTTAAACTTCTAAATAAAATTATACCAACACAGATTTGGTCAGCTGGCATGAACCTGAGTCACTTTGTTTATGTCAAACGTGACTCTCTTAACTCCAAAACCCATTTACGCAAACCACAAAGAAATAATTATATTATTATACTATTTAAACGTTATTGAACAGTTCTCCACATACCTTACACAAAGAACACAGGATCAAAATAGATCATAGATTAAAATAACACTCTCTAAAATACTATGGTTACGTTAAACTGCACGAATAAATATGAAAGTGTGCAGTGGCATCTTGCTCTTATTTTGAACCAGTAGGCTGCCCTGGTTACACGCCAGGTTGGGTTGCGGGCAGTACTCGAGTTGAGGGGGATGAGGGGGGGATGGCATCCCATTTCTTAAAACAAATATAAAAATCATCCCCCTTCTTAAAAGACTATCCCCCCATACCATCCCCTGTGAAATTTTATTACTGAATGTGTAAAATGTCTTCTCTGTATTAACAGTAATGGCAATAATATTGCCCTTTCAACATTTGGAGGGCTGTGGGCTTACGAGTAGCCTGAGCAAAATAAATAACATCAAAGAAGTGTCCTACCATGACTATGAAGTTGATCCCAGAGGGAAATGTGTCCTCTGCATTAGTCCCTAACTCTTTAGGGGCAGTGATAGCCATGCCAGTCCAGGGACTGACTAAATTTCTACTGTAAGGTGCCTTTGTCAAGCAAGGTCAATGACCGACGTACCTGACATGTAACAACCATACCATGCATAGTGCTTTAGGTTAATAGAATATATAAATTAGGCTATGTATGCTTACAAAAAAAAATAAAAAATCACCAGCCCCTTTCTTTTTACAACTAGACAAATGGTTGCGGGTGCTGACGCTTCCTGTGCAACCCCTATCGGAGGCGGCCTGACAGTGTTTCCTCACTCTGGCTGCTCTCTGTTGTCGTGTCTATACTGTTTTTCTTCATTGGTTTTTCCCGAAAAAATCTGAAATGCGTAGCTTTGCCATATTTCCTCTCGGTTTCTTTCATAAGTCTGAGTAAATTTACTAGTCTGCTGCAGCAAGCGGGATACCACTTCCACCACTAGCTTGCTTGACGTTGCCATGACAACGTAACTTCCATGAACTTGTGTTGATTAGGCCTCAAAATAATTACATTAAAATCCAAATACATGTCATAGTAAAATAAAAAAGACAAAATACTTTGCACACATTTATAAATTGTGTAAAGTATTTTTTATGTTGTTTAAATAGATCTCCCTCTCACCACTAGGGGGTGCAGCAGCACCCCCACTTTCCGTGGCCATGGCAAAGCTGTGGTTCTGTTTCTATGGAAATCAAAATCTTTAACTTTAAGGTCGTTTCAGTCTCAGATGCTTTTTAACACTTTAATGCATCAGTCCCAGAATTGCCAAATGGATATCTGTGAATGACCAAAAGAAAGGTAATAAGATCACTGATGATCCGGATTCAACTCTGGAAAGATCACCACTCATTTGACAAATCCAAATTTACCAACATCTTGTAAAAGCACAACCAAGGAAACACCATGGTGACCTACATGTGCAATATCATTACCCAGACTCTCCAATGCCATCCTGACTGAACTGTTCAGAAAAAGTTAGTTTACAGAATAATTAAGAGTAATGATTCAAAAAATACTGTTTAGGAAGAGACGGTGACCTGTCTCTCCATTGATCACATAACGCTCTCTAACTTGCGCCCATGTGAGGATTGTTATTTCTGGGAGACATGTGAACGCTTGTTCTTCTCTGGGGAGTTAACATTATAAAAATGAGACTCATGCAAGCTCTGTTTTTATCTGATTTATGTCCAGACTCCCCCGGTGGAAAAAAAAAAAAAAATGAAGTGGCCACAGGAGATTCTGGGTGTTGGCGGATGCTCAAATAAAGCCAGGAGGGAAGAGAAGATACAAATGTAGGACACAGGGATCGGGGTTTCTATCAACACTGGCACTGTTTATGTAGGTCTATCCTGAGAGCATCCTGCTCCATCGGGAGCGTCAGCCTTCCAGTAGGTTGTTGAGTGTTTAGCTTGCAGCACAGAGGTCAGCGTATCAGAGGCTCTGCTCCAAACCAGGACGTCAAACAGAGATATTTATAAACCCGTTTCTCACATATGACAAGAGCAAAGGTCTCTGATCTGAATAGATAACAGGGTGGGGTTTGTCATTTTGATTGTTGACATTTGCACCCTATATTTTACTTCAATAATTAATGATTAAACTGTATTTAGAGAAAATGTTTCTAATACAGTAACACTGCAAAAAATCTAAATAAGTCATTTTTGCTTAAATTAAGTGCATTTTTTCTTGAATTGTGAAGGTAAGTGAGACACTTTGCTAATGAAAGAAGACATTTTACAATTAAAATAAGAAAAAAACAATTGTATTGTCTTATTTTAAGTGCATATCATCTAAATATCTAATTTTAAGAGTAAAAATACTCATTCCATTGGCAAATCATCTTATTTACCTATTCAAATTAAGAGTAAATACGCTTAATTTCAGACATTTATGCTCATTTTTAGATTATTTTTTCCCGTGTGTTTCTCATCATAATCGCTGCTCGTGTGGCACACTGTAATCTGAACTGTCATGAAGCTGTGGAGAGTAAATGATGCGCTCTGAATGAAGACTTGAGGGAACAATAAAGCAAAAGGAACCAATGTTTAATTGTTCAGATTCAATCACTCCAACAGATGGACAAAGCCATTAATGCTGTGTATGTCCTGCCTGTTAAAGACGTCTGAGGCTTAATATTGGCAACCTGGGACATCATCTTTAAAGATATTCGCGGAAATCTCTTGGGATCAAAAGCCTGAGCCACAAACTCAAAACTTTCATCTGCCGTTTTTTTTCAGTGGTGTTTCTAAACTTTACTCCCATTTTACAAACCTTGGTGTTAGAATTTATTACAAAAACTTTTTAAATATACACAAAAAAAACATGATATGTTTTTATTTTACTCTTGTCCTGCTGAATGTTTGCTTGCCTCCTCCTGTCAGCCATCTTTAAACAGCATTAATTATTAAGCTATGTGTCAATACAATAGGAACTGGAGGTGACTTAAGCTCCTGTCACACTTTGACGATTTAGCCAGCATATGCCGGACGTCCCAGAATCTGCTAAAACGCTGGCAAACGCTGAACTTTCCATGTATTTTTTTTTTATTTTTGGCGTATAGATCGATTATTTATAACATGTCCAGAACTTATGTCTTGTGACAGCCTAACGTATACATAACGTATGGCATTGGAAAAAAATAATGCAACCGTTTCTGGCATTTACTTAATTATATTTATTTTCTTTAACTAAATTGTTTAATGCCCTACCAAGCTAACATGCTTTAACACATTGTGTTAAAGTAACGAAATATGATGAAGTAAATGCCAAAAAGAGTTGTATTATTTTTTTCAGCATAATGCCCATGAAATGTCACAAGCCAGTGTCCTGAGGGGGGCAGCAACGCGCCCAGAGGTGAAGAGTTCTTTGATCGCATTATAAACTGGCTGCTGTTTACCGCCTGTCAAAATAAAAAAAGAACAAATAAATAAAAAGAAAGAAAGAAGGTTTGCAGTCGCAGCAGATTCATGTCAGCTAGGAAGTTTGTTGGTCCTGGTCGTGGGCGTGAAGGCACGGCGGATTCATCAAACTCATCTTCTCGCTCACCCTATGAAGTCTAGAGGAGTACTGACCGTTTCCTCCTGTTAACCCTCCTTTATACCAAAACGCTGCCAATTATACGTACATTATAAAGCTAGCTGTAAGTTGGAAACACGTTCAGCGGTTGTCTGGAACACGTCAAAATGTTGATATGCGTTGGAGATAAGTTACGCATAAGTTATGCACAAGTTACTCATATGTTTTATATAAGCAAGACACCACAACTTATGAGTAACTTATGCTTAACGTATGTCAAAGATCAGATAACTTACCTGTAACTTATGCCCCATGTATGGCATAAGCTGGCATACATCCAGAAATTTTTGAGCATGCTCAAAATTTCTCAATATACTCGCCGTATGTTGACATGTGCCAGCTTGTTTTAGCGGTTTCATAACTTATACAAAACTGACGCATAACTTATCCAACGTATACCAGCGTTTTTGACAGATATTTCGTACGTCAGGCATACGCTGGTCTAAATAGTCAAGGTGTGACAGGGGCTTTGATGAAACACAGGGGAGTTGAATTTATCACTGTTCTCAAGAAGTTACCTGTTTTGAGGACCTCGTATCGAACTGAGAATCCAGCTCCATGGGTTTCATAATCAGAGACGAACTTTATAAGGAGCTGCTTGCCACTCGAGATGATTGGAGAGGGAGCAATTTTCCCGCAAAACTTCCCCAGCATGGGCGACGTCTCATGTCCGCCATTGTAGACTTCCAGATAGTCATACCTGCATGAGCAAGAGAGGAGATAACAGATCAGTTTAGGGTTTTGCAAAGAATGCTAAGTATTTAAAAGATGCTTCAGTGAATATAAAGCATTTTAGACTTCCAGGAATGTTTATGCATTTCAGATGATGTTGCTTCAATATTGATCAGCCCCTGAAGCACGTTGTTTCAGATTTCAAATGTTTTTCTTCCATAAAAAGGAAAAAAAAAATCTGTTTTATTTACAGATTTCTAGCTTGTCTTATCTGAAATGCAATGCATGTGCTTTTAAAACAAAAAGTCTGATATCACTGATGAAAATTTCACTTCTATTTTGTCACCTGTTTTTTTTTTATGTATCATTTTTACCAAACAAAGTAGTTCCTTTAATGCATGCAGCCTCTTCCCAGAAAAGCTAGATTGACTATGTGCATGTCTCCATTGCACACACACTTAACACAGATAGGAAAATATATCAGCTGTTGCTGAAGTGGATAAATGAAAAACATATTAGATAGATATCAGAGGGGAGAGGGAACATGAGGTTTCTCTTTCTCAGAGCGAGGGAGGAAGAACAAGGCGGTGATATTGAGAAAATTATTCTCACAGTGAAACTTTATCAGTCTCTGTTGTTTGGGTGAACCTCCTACCACCTCTGCAGCAGCTCATACTTTACTAACACACAATTATTCTTTAGCAATTCTCACATTTAAAGGCACATCTCATACAATATCTGAATAAATGCTAAAGTTTCAGCTTTTTTATCACTTATTTACTTTTTAGAGTGGAGGTCTTCAACAGCGGTACACGACCCCTAGGGGGTCCACAGAGGTACTGCATGGGGGTCGCAAAAGTTTTGGTTGATTATACTTTTTTTTATATTCCCCACTGCCATTTTTCCACTGATTGAAATGTCTTTAAATACACATTAACATGAATTCAACACACTGTAGCATACAGAAAAATGGAGGCAGAAGATGTCATTCAGTCATCAATGCACACATTCAGAGACACACAGGAGCTCTTTCAAGCTGGGCACCGTTTCATTCACAACACCTGTCCCATCAACAAGGAATCAGAAATACTTTAATAATCCCAGGGAGAAATTACATGAATCCATCTGTAATAGAGAGACAATAGGACCAGTTTGATATAACACAATTTCATACAATATATATAATTAGGGGCTCCCTGCTCCATCTCGCCATCAGTTTGTGGGTCCTTGGCCTGGAAAACGTTGAAGACCCCTGTTCTAGAGCCTAAATTAGCTCTTATAGGGTTTAAATCTGTCATGGTTCTCCCCTTTTGGGACTTCTGATTTATCAATCTTTCGTTTATTTTCCATTTTGTGTTAAGCAGTCTTTAGTTTCTTTCTGTTGGTGTTTTGTGTCTGTCTCCTTCCCCTTAGCTCCCTTCTAGTTACCTCCACTCACACCTGCTCCATATTAGTCCATCCTCTCCTCTGTTCCCCTTATATACACCACCTCTGCAGTCACTCAGTGCTGGTTCCTTGTCGTTATTATTTTGTTTCTCTGACGTCACCTCGCTCCCCATGTGTGTTCACCCTGATGTTACTGGATTTTTTGCTTCTCTGTATTTTGTATTTTTGCCTCTGTTGCCTTGGACGTGTCTAGAAAACTCCCCTCTGCCTCCTCACCTCTGCATTTGGGTTCCTTAAAAAACCTCCACTTAACCTGACAAAATCAACTAACATAGAGTTTTAATTCATATTTTTAGGTTTTAAACAAGTAGGCCTACCTTCTGTTGGAATATGAAACTCTAATTATTAGTGGAGTTAAAATGGTTCTGATTTAAGTAGTTATCCATGATAAACATCGGTGCAGTCTCAGCTTGAGTAATTAAAGAACTGATTTAGCTAAAAAGCTATTTACTGTCAAGCTCACAGCTAATCATAAACAAGCTAATAGCTAATCAGAAGCAAGCTAATGGCTAATCAGAAATAAGCTAACAGCTAATCAGAAAAAAGCTAACAGCTAGTTATCAACCTTAATCAGTGTCAAACTAACCACTCCTTGAAGGTAAAGCAGGGTTTCCGCGGGTCATTGAAAATAATTAAAAGTCATTAAATTAAAATTCATTAAATGTGATTATTGTGGTATTTAAAATGCTTTATAAAAAAAAAGTTTATAAAAACAATTTCGTCAGATATATTAGATGTATATATATATATATATATATATATATATATATATATATGTATATGTATGAGAGTCATGGGCACTTGTTGATGGCATTAAAATTATTTCTAAGAGCATTAAAATCATGAGATTAGAGGTACTTATTCCTGTATAAACCCTGTAAAGTAACTGCTAATTATTTCAAAAAAATATTTTTCTGCTATACTGATTAAATTTACTATAGTGAAAGGAATAAAAAACAGGCATGTAAGGTTATAAAGGCAAACCATTATTCTGATGAATAATTATAATCAAACAAGTACAACAACCAGATGGAGAGAGTTATTTGAAATGTTAAGGCCTGGAAACACCTTAACCCTGTGAGTCCTAATCAAAAATGTGTAACAGTAGACGTTGCTTCAAAACTTAGATTTGACAGATTCACACTTGTCTGGCAATCCGCAGCAGTTTTGAAATCTCTGTTTTAAGAGGGAGTTTGACCTCTAACCCCTTAAACAAGAAACAGTGTAGAATATCAAAATATTTTCTCAGCCCGGCTAAAGCTTGCCGGTATGAATCTGTAGAATTACAGGAATGTATGACTAATGAGACCAATTTGCAAAGAAAACCCAACCCTGGAGCTAATTTATGACTGTTGTCAGTTTCATTTCATGTCAACACCTAGGAGACTGTCAGAGAAATTTACTCTTCATTTTATAATAAAAAATGATTTAAAATGAGCAAATAATCTTTATTTCGACAATGAATAAAATAAAGTAGGCCTACATTGCAAACTTTCCAACCAGGCTAATTTCTTAGCCTTCCTATAAGTATGGACATATTTTATTTAATTGAAAAGCGCATGTTAAAGGAACAATAAGCACTAATCATGCTTAGTGTTCCAACACACAAAACAGATACCCACCCATCAAAGTGTTGCGTAGGTTATTAAATCAAGACTGCAGAGTTGTCAAGTAACACAATACAAATACCTTATCTTGCTTAAGTGAAATTATTGGCTATCTATACTTTACTGGTGTAATTACTATTTAGAGTTTTAACTTTCTATTCCTTGCATTAAAAAAAAAAGACTCATTAGTTTTGTTTCATTTAAGCAAATTTTCATTATGGCCAGTTGGTATTTAAAGAAAATAAAAAAAATCAAAACAGTAATTTGTTTAATCAAGATAATTAATTTCTTTGTGGTCTGACTCCGTGCTGCACCAACTTGCTGTTCACCACATACCAAAATAAATTGTTTTTAAGATGATGCAAAGTTGAATTTGACACTGTTGCCATTAGTTAAAAAACTAAGAAAATTAAGTATAAAGAAATAGAAAAATTAGCATCTTTCTTTAGGATTGTTTTCTGCATTACTTTCACGTTTGTACCTTAAACAGTTTTAAAAATAGTATTTCACACTTTTACTTGAGTAAAAAGCTTAAGTTGATACTCTACAAAAGTGTTTTTAAATAGTAGGATTTATACTTCTACTTTAGTAATAAATATTAATACTTTTGATACCTCTGCAAGAGAGAGAAAGATGTAGCGCAGCTAAATTCAAGGTGATTCCTAGGCTTCTAGGTATTGCTGAGACTATTTCTGGTCTCCCTTTCTCTTGGCTTCTCTGTTTTTAAGCCGCTTCTCTTTCACAAAGATAAA